ACAAACACTTTTCTATGAGGGCAATCACTTTGTTTACCATCTGGAAACAAACCTTCTAGTAAACAAAGTTTGCATCACAAATTGGATTACTCCCACTCCTTGCTTTTCAAAACCAGCTCAGAAACCGTGTACCTTATCTTGCAATGACTAATTGACTTTATGACACAGGTCTGAACAAAGGCCAAGGCAAGAGTTAAAAAATAATATGTCTGGCTAGGCACGATGGTTTATGCCTGTAATGCCAGCACTTTGGGAGGATGATGTTTAAAAAAAAAAAAAAAAAAAAAAAAAAAGAAGGTGCAGGAAAAACACTCCATTTTAAAACGGTGTGAGATAAGGCAGATAAAAAGCCTAGTCATGTGTTATTTATAAAGTGATTATGTGGCTACACAGTTGACTATGAATAAAGGGAATCTAAGAAACTATTAGTGAACATAGTTATTATTACCAAATCTTGTTCCTAGAGAAGCCAATGGACGTTTAGAGTCTATATTCAGGCTGGCGGGCACCTGCAATCCCAGCTATTCAGGAGGCTGAGGCAGGAGAACGGCTTGAACCGGGGAGGTGGAGATTGCAGTGAGTGGAGACCATGCCACTGCACTCCAGCCTAGGCCACGGAGTGAGATGGTCTCTAAATAAATAAATAAATTCTGAAATTATAGAAAATAGCCTGAGACGGTAAAGTTACACAAAACTTTACAGATTAAAAGTTACAAGGGATGGGATAGTGGTTTGCTGCTTTCTGTGTAAGACAAGCTTATATTGGGGGATCATCCAAGTTTGGCATGCATCAACTCTCTTGATTTTATATTGCCAGTCCAAAAAAAGTCTTTATCTTCAACAACACAAACTTCCACAGTCACTCCCCTCACCTGTCTTGCAGTGCTCAGCTTTATATCCCTGCAGCCCCGTCACGTGTCACCCCAGCTAGGGAGTTACTCAGGGTCAGGGAGGTGGAATTAAGTGTGGCTAGTGTTTCTCTACATGCACAGACTTAAGTCTCTAGATCCAAAGAGTTTAAGACTCTATCCTCAGAGTGGCTTAGTACTCACACTATGTAATTATGCTTTTCTATCCCAACTATGGCATAAAGAAATGAAGATGTCTTTCTCCTATGTTGCTTTAGAGAGAAATAGAGCTTTTTGGAGTGTTTCTAGAAGGTTCTACAGGTCCACACTAGCCAGCAGGCTTATCTACTTTCCTACTGTGCACCTCTGTCTGTTTCTCCTCATTCTCTTCCACTCCTTCTGTGCTATCTTTCTTCCCCTTGACTTAACCTCCTCATTAGATAAGACTGATCACATTTCAGCATCATGGAAAAAATGGCAGGTGAAACAGAGGCTACAATTGTTTGCATCTGCCATCTGGGGCGACATACACAGAAGATATATGTGTGCTTCCCTCCCTATTTATTTTAAACATAAAATAAACTTACGTTTAAAAGTAAAAATGAAAACAAATTTTTTAAAAAAATTTATAACTAAAACTGTTAACTGCCAAAGGCCGTAGCACTACAAAAGGGTTAGGGACACACCAGCACTAAACTGAGACTTTTTTTCCTTCTAGAAAAGACATGAAAGGGATTGAGAAAAAGATGGCTGCAGGAGTCCTTGGAATATGCAGAATATATCTGTGCATCCCTCACAGAGTGATGTCAGCCACACTTTTCTACAAGTACTTGACTTGGTGAGATTGCCCTGTACTTCCAAGGTGGTGGAGTCTTCCCTGAAAGGTTCCAAGCAGCATAGAGTGTCTTGTTTAGCTAATTCTATTTAGCATATATTGCGTAGACTATTAGTAATAGTTCTAAGATTCAGGAATAAGCAGAAGACATCAGCCATGATCATTACACTCCAGTCAATTTTCAGCTGCTGGTCACGGTCGTAGTGGGGCCATAGTGGGACTTGGAGGGACAGCAGGGATGCACTGAAATTCAGTAGCCATGAAGGTGAATGGGTGTACACTGATTGCCATTCAGAAAGTTTTCCAACCATTCTACCATAATGGCCAGATAACGTCAAGTAACAGTGCTGTTAGTAGACTCATAACAAATAAAAGTTCAGCAAATAGTGACAGAGGTCAAATCGGGAGACTTTATCTGGCATAAATATGTTGAGGCTGTGTTCTTGCAGCAAGTGTATCAAGGAGCTATTTCCTGGTACAGCTGCCTAACATTGACATAATGTGCCAACATCAGTGGCAATGGGTACAGTGGGATGGGAAACAGCATGTTCTTATTACCTATGTGTCCATATTCTAATACAACATAGAGGCGCTAATGATGATGTCACACATAGCTAGGCGTTCCTGTGAGAGTCCAGACCTTGGAAAGAGTGAGATGCAAAATCACAATCTTGAGACGCTGAGCCTTATAGGCAAGGTTTACATATGAAAATAATTTGTTTTCTGTTTTGACCTGATTCCATGGTGAGTAGAATACACTGGTCTCTGATTGCTAGTGGGAGTGAGGAGAAAGGGTGTAATTTGAAGCCAATATAGCTTTATGATCCTAGAGCTCTGGCTTAAGAGAAAAAACACGTTTGTATTACATTACACAGTACTTTATGTATTTAATTCTCTGTTCTCATCCATGCATCTCAAGGGTAAATCAAAGCAGAAACAAAATGCCCTTTCTCGGTCTACAGCAATCTCCAAGTGTGTCCCAAGAGCATGTTCTAAAGTATCAAGGGCTGGGAGAGTCCCCAAGACCTCTGGATTCTCTCTCTTCCCTTCTTTTTAGCCCCTCTTCTCTTCCATCTGTTTCCCTAGGCTGTTTTTGGCTTGAGCCCAGTGGACTCATACACCTGAAGGCACCATCAACAGTGACTGTTAACATGAGAATGAGCCATGCTCTGTGCTTACTTGTTTTGCTGTTTGTGGATTTGCTTTGTCTTGCTATTTAGCATAAACTCTTTGGAAAGTTTTCTCTACCCAGCACCACCCCCTCGAGACCCCTTCGAGTTTACCTCTGAACGACCGACCGCTGAAATTGCACAATCTTCAGCTTTATCTCCAAACGATCACATACAGTTTAAAATACAATTCAAAATATTTGCAACAGATACAGTTTTAAAAGGGTCCATATCCTTCACATTCTGCTTCTGGATCTTGTTCTAAATGTATCTGAAACTCTTACAAACTCTTACAAATTCATTCTTTTAAAGCCCAGGAGAAAAATAAACCAAGCACGTAATTAAATACATTTCAAGAGAAAAAGTAATAATTGTAAATAAACATATTTTAAAAGGTTGGGCTGGGCATGTTGGCTCATATCTGTAATCCCACCACTTTGGGAGGTCAAGGTGAGTGGATTACTTGAGCCCGAGAGTTTGAGACCAGGTGGGCAACATAGTGAGACCCCATGTCTACAAAAAATTAAAAAAAAAAAAATAGCCAGGCGTGATGGCATGCACCTGTTGTCCCAGCTACTTGGAAGTCTGAGGCAGGAGGATTGTTTGAGCCCAGGAGGTTGAGGCTGCACTGTAATAGCATCACTGCACCACAGCCTGGGCAACAGGGAGAGACCCTGTCTCTAAAACAGAAACAAAAAAATGAGAGATTGATTTTATGAAAAACAAAGAAGATGTAAAGTATAAGAAGAAGGAAACAGGTTTTTTCTTTTCAGATTGACAAATACGCGCCGGGTGCAGTGGCTCAAGCCTGTAATCCCAGCACTTTGGGAGGCCGAGGCGGGTGGATCACGAGGTCGAGAGATCGAGACCATCCTGGTCAACATGGTGAAACCCCGTCTCTACTAAAAGTGCAAAAAATTAGCTGGGCATGGTGGCACGTGCCTGTAATCCCAGCTACTCAGGAGGCTGAGGTAGGAGAATTGCCTGAGCCCAGGAGGCGGAGGTTGCGGTGAGCCGAGATCTCGCCATTGCACTCCAGCCTGGGTAACAAGGGCGAAACTCCGTGTCAAAAAAAAAAAAAAAAAAAAAAGATTGACAAATACTATAAAGAAAGACACTATGCAGAATAATGGAGGACTGTGAGAATTTCTACTGTCATTCACTGCTGGTGGGAGCCTCTCTGAAGGGCAGTTTGTTTCAAATTGTTTTCCTCTGAAAAGAAAAAGAAAGAAACAGTATGGATGACCTTAACAGTGTAAATATTTTATTTGTTACATTTTTGTTACATTAAAATATAATAAGTAAAAACGTAACACTATAATAAAATATTGGTAGAAAACAGGCATTTGTGTGTGTGTGTGTGTGTGTGTGTGTGTGTGTGTTTTGAGACAGTCTCACTCTGTCACAGCTTACTGCAGCCTCAACCTTCTGAGCTCAAGTGATCCACCCCCCTCAGCCTCCCTAGTAGCTGGGACTATAGAAGGGCACTACCACACTTGGCTGATTTTTAAACTTTTTTTATTTTATAGAGATGAGGTCTCACTATGTTGTCCAGCCTACCCTCAAACTTCTGGCCTCAAGTGATCCTCCTACCTTGGCCTCCCAAAGTGCTGGGATTACAGTCATAAGCCACCATGCGGAGCTCAAAAGATTGTTACAAGCTTGATGGAGGTAGTACCTGCTTAGAATAGCACCAAGGCTAAAACTTATAAACCGAAAGAGACAAATTTGACTACGTAAAAAACTCTAAATGACAAAAACATAAAGTTAAAACACAAACATCAAGTTAGAGAAAATAATTTCTGCAATGTGTATGAGAGACAAATGCTTAGAATTTATTTTACTCAGGTATATGTACAGAAGTAGGTAACTAGGTTCTTAAGAACTAGGTTCTTAAGATATCTTAGGAACTTAAGATAACTAGGTTCAAGGATGTTCTTTGTAGGATGTGCATAATAGCAAAATACTGAACCTAAAATGTTCATCACTAGTTGGTTATTAATAATTGCATGTTCTGTTATGCCACTTAATGAAACAGACATATGGAAAAGATGTTAACATATATCTCTAAGTGTAAAAAAAGTCTGCTAGATTCTGGAAGTTGCTTTCAGACGCAGCATCTGGGTGTGCTCTTTGTGAAATTCCACCATGGTGTACCGTGGCCAGGGCCAGAAAGTGCAGAAGGTTATGGTGCAACCCATCAACCTCATCTTCAGATGCTTACAAAATAGATCGCGGATTCAGGTGTGGGCCTATGAGCAAGTGAATATGCGGATAGAAGGCTGTGTCATTGGTTTTGACAAGTATATGAACCTTGTATTAGGTGATGCAGAAGAGATTCATTCTAAAACAAAGTCAAGAAAACAACTGGGTCAGATGATGCTAAAAGGAGATAGTATTACTCTGCTACAAAGTGTCTTTCCAACTAGAAATGATCAATGAAGTGAGAAATTATTGAGAAGGATACAGTTTGTTTTTAGATGTCCTTTGCCAATATGAACATTTATTCATATTGTTCTCATTACCCTTATGTTATTGCAAGATGACAATAAATGCTATGGGACTGTTTGTATTTTTAAAAAGTCTACTAAACAAGATATGCATAATAATCTATTCTGTTAAACATATATACGTATATGTGCAAATACATTTGTATATTAATATAAATCAGTCTAAAAGTATATACTAAACATAATAAGTTATCTTTGGTTGAATGGGATAATAGGGGATTCACTTCTCGCTTCTTACATTTCTATGCTTTTGAGTTTTCTGAACAGACAATGGAATGGATTACATATATATATGTGTGTGTGTGTGTATATATATATATATATATATATATATATATATGTATGTAATACACATATAATTTCTTTAGTGATGGGGTCTCACTATGTTGCCCAGGCTGGACTGCAAACATCTGGGCTCAAATAATCCTTCTTTCTCAGCCTCCCAAGTAGCTGGGACAATAAGCTGATGACACTGTGCCCAGCTATATATTGCTTATATAATGAGAAAAGTATATTTACATTTAATTTTTTAAATGTGGCTTATGCCTGTAATTCTAGCACTTTGGGAGGCCGAGGTGGGAGGATCACCTGAAGTCAGGAGTTCGAGATCAGCTTGGCCAACATGGTGAAACCCTGCCTCTACTAAAAATACAAAAATTAACTGGAAGTGGTGGCACATGCCTGTGGTCTCAGCTACTAGGGAGGCTGAGGCAGGAAAATTGCTGGAACTCAGGAGGTGGAGGTTGCACTGAGCCAAGGTCACACCACTGCACTTCAGCCTGAGTGATAGCATGAGTTTCTGTCTCAAAAAAAAAAAAAAAAAAAAGGATTCTGTCTTTCCTCTAGTCTTTCTTCTATTTTGTATTTTCCAAATTTCTATAATGCATCCAATAATAACATAATGTTGGGGCACGGTAAATGGGTTTTAGTTTTGTTTTGAGACAGGATCTCACTCTATTGCTCAGGCTGATGTGCAGTCACTGCTCACTGCAGCCTCAGCCTCCCAGGCTCAAGCGAGCCTCCCTTCTCAGCCTCCAGAGTAGCTGGAACTACAGGCATAGACCATCATGCCTGGCTAATTTTTGTATTTTTTGTAGAGACAGAGTTTTGCCATGTTACCTAGGCTGGTCTCAAACTCCTGGGCCCAGGTGATCCTCCCACCTTAGCCTCCCTTATAATCCCACACTTGGGATTATGAATATGAGCCACTGCACCTGACCAGTAAATGATTTTATCCAAATTTCATTTTAAAAATGTAAGTTTGAGATCACAAATGAGAGGAGAAAGTTCATGTCACCAGCACCTTTAGTACTGTATGCAGGCAACAGTCTTTAATGCTTTTTTATTCACTTTTTCTTATTTCCACCTTTTGTTACATATTTTAATTTTTTAAAACCAACATTGTTGTTAAAGAAAGAACACACATTTTCAAGCAAAGAGAGCATATGGAAATAAAAAAGGAATTTCACAATTATTAAACTTGGTTAACAACTTCTCAATATGACTGAGTTATAGCTATTTTGTGACATGGAGTGGGGTGAGGTAATGAATACATGTCAGGAAAAGGGACTCTCCTTTCCCCTCCCCCACTTCTGTGTCCTCCTCTTCAAAAGAAAAAAAGGAAAGAAAGAGAAAGAAAGAGAGGTGGGGAAAGGAAGGAAGGAAGGAGGGAGAGAAAGAGAGAGAAAGTGAGAGAAAAAGGAAGGAAGAAAGAGGAAGGCAGGAAGGAAGGAAGAAGGGATTGCTTTAGCCCAGGAGTTTGAAATTAGCCCTGGTAATACAGCTTGTCTGTCCCTACAAAAAATTTTAAAATAGCCAGGTGTGGTGGTGCACACCAATAGTCCCAGCTATCTGAGAGGCTGAGGCAAGTGGATTGCTTGTGCCCAGGAGTTACAGGTTAAAGTGAGCTATAATTGCATCACTGCACTCCAGCCTGGGTGGCAGAGCAAGACCCTGTCCCAAATAAGTAAATATAGTTAAAAAACAACAACAAAAAGATACATGGGCCCTTTTCTCATGGTAAATTTTGATGAAGACTTTTGCTATATTGAAAATTGCTCTTAGGGCTGGGTGCGGTGGCTCACACCAATGATTCTAGCACTTCGGGAGGCCAAGGTGGGTGGATCACTTGAGCCCAGGAATTTGAGACCAGCCTGGGCAGCATAGTGACACCTTGTCTCTGTGAACACATACAAAAGCTAGCCATGCATGGTGGCACTTGTCTGTAGTCTCAGCTACTCAGGAGACTAAAGAGGGAGGATCACTTGAGCCTCGGAGGTTGAGGTTGCAGTGAGCTGTGATTATGCCACCGCACTCCAGCCTGGGCTACAGAGTGAGACTCTGTCTCAGAAAACTAAAAGAAATTGCTCTTTATAACCTGTAACCTGAAGACTGAGAGTTCTATTTGCAAAACATCTTTGACTGTGAAGATGAAGAGTCTGATACTTTGAATAAACAAAACTCAGGTCCTGGCAAATACGTATTCAACAAAGCGTTAAATTCCCTGAAGTTCAGACACATTCCTTGCCTAAGGTTACACGTTGAGTTAGAGTCAGAACTAGACTCCAAGACTCTTTCCCCTAAACTTGTTTCCCTTTACTCCCTTCAGTGTTTTATGAAATAACTTTTTTCTTTTTTCGAGACAGGGTGTCTTTCTGTTGCCCACGCTGGAGTGCAATGGTTATTCACAGACTCCATTACCGCACACTGCAGCCCTGACCTCCTGGGCTCAAGCATCCTCCCATATCTGCCTATGGAGTAGCTGGGACTAAAAGCACATACCACTCGCTGCACCTGGCTGAAATGACTCTAAGCTTGGAATTCAGTGCCTCTTTAAAACTTAAGTGTGGACCAGGCACAGTGGCTCACACCTGCAATCCTAGCACTTTGGGAGACAGAGGCCTGAGGATTTCCTGAGCTCAGGAGTCGAAGACCAGCCTGGGAGACAGAGAGAGACTCTGTCTCAAAACAACAACAACAACAAGAAAAAACCACACATGTGTTTTTAGGTAGAGCCTCTCACTATTTCTTGTTTCTTTTTAAACCTTAATGAGTTTCACTCTGCTATTGTGTGAGATAAATCCTTTTGGGACAAAACTCTAAATAGATATGATCCTACTAGAAATTATTACAGTCTTTTCATTACAATGTCTATTTGGAATGACACTTTTCCAGAATAGCTCCAATTGAAAACTGAAGAAACAAGCAACTAAAACCAAAATAGAACTACAATAAATCCGTTTCCTTTCATAAAATTGTCGTAGGGCTTGCCGAGGGGTTTTACACATATTTGCTCATCTGAGCAATCAAAGGAGAAATTACATCATGCTGATTTGTTTTCAAATGGCCTGGACTTAACCTTCCTTGGTGGAATTCATAAACTGGTGGAATTCATGAACTACTGAGATGACTCATCATCGAAGGCAGACGTCTCACGCACCCAGAATGCACCGACCATTGTCTCAGAGTTTACTCCTGATATTCAGGTTTAGAGGTAGATCACTTCGCTTTCAGAGGTGCCTGAGACAAACCCATGAAAACAGACTTGAGAGGTGGTATGAACCAGTGCAAAGAACCTTGGTGTCAGGAAATAGCCTGAATTTCAAAATGAAAACCTCTTATATTTATCTTGTTGGGTTTCGATTTTTCTCCCCCAGCTTTATTGAGGAAAAGTTGACCAAAAAAATTTTATATATTCACAGCCAGCTGTGGTGGCTCATGCTTGTAATCCCAACACTTTGGGAGGCCAACGTGGGCAGATCACTTGAGATCAGGAGTTTGAGAGCAGTCTGCCCAACATGTCAAAACCCCATCTCTACTAAAAATCCAAAAAATTAGCAGGGCATGGTGGTGGGCACCTGTAATCCCAGCTACTCGAGAGGCTGAGGCAGGAGAATCACTTGCACTCAGGAGGAAGAGGCTGCAGTGAGCCAAGATCGTGCCATTACACTGCAGCCTGGCTGACAAGAACAAAACTCTCTCCAAAAAAAAAAAAACAAAAAACAAAAATTAGCTTGGCATGGTGGTGCACGCCTTTAATCCCAGCTACTCAGGGGGCTGAGACACAAGAATCACTTGAACCCAGGAGTGAGAGGTTGCAGTGAGCCGAGATCACACCACTGCACTTCAGCCCAGGTAACAGAGAGAGACTCCATCTAAAATATATATACACACATACACATATATATATTTAAGGTTTACAACATAATGATTGGATGTATGTATATATTGTGGCATGATTACCATAATCATATTAATGCATGCATTCATCACCTCACCAAGTTACCATTTTGTGTGTGTGTGAATCTGTGTATGTGTGTGACAACACACAAGATCTACTCAGCAAATTTCAAGTAATCAACACAGTATAGTCACTATGAAGTACAGAACGTATTCAGCTTACAACTGAAAGCTTGTACTCTTTGGCTGTCATCTCCCTATTTCTCTCACTATCACCCTTGGCCCCTGGCAACTATCATTCTACTCTGTGCTTCTGTGAATTGATTTTTTTAGATTCCACATAGAAGTGAGATCACATAGCATGTGTCTTTCTGTGTCTGTCTTATTTCACCCAGCATAATGTCCTCCAGGGTGAAACCTGTTTATTTGAATCTCAGCTCTGCCTTACCTTTACTAGCTATTTAGCCAAGGGCAGTTTTCATATCTTGTAAAATTGAAACAATTCTTACTTTACAGGATGGCAGTGAAAGTTAAATAAGACAATGTATGAGATTTGTGCCCCTGTAATTACAGTCTAACCCGTTTACATTATCCTAGTTATCCAAGAGCCTATAGGTATAAAAAGCAAAATAGGAGACATATTTGCTGAATAACAATGTAGAACTGAAACTTGGGACTTAAAAACAAATCCTCAGCTGAAAATAGCATCTAGGAGAGATTTCCCTGCACTGGAAAGTGGCATCACAAACAATT